GGTCTCAATTAGTTTTAGGCGTTTCACGGTCTCCGCAAACAGGTACAGTGTTTGGTTCAGTGGGGGGCCGGGCCGAGTAAATGGTTCGGTTACCTGGCCCGGGCGTTTGGCCAAGTGGAAGTTCTTAGACAGTACGGCGTCTATACACTTTTCCACGAACTGCACTAGGCCGTCAGGGGATGGGCTCTGTCCAAGTGGAAGGAATTGGGTGGATGATGGATTGGGAGGCGCTAAATGCAGATTACATTTGAGGACATAAGTTGATGACTATATTCCAGAGTTTTACGCTTTCGAAGGTGATGTATGCAGGAGAGATAGTTCTTGTTATTGATTTTTGGACATTGAACGATTGTTTCTTCTTAAGGTTGACAATTAATCTACTCAAAACATTTCAAACGACTTTTTAGGGAAACTATTTACTATCTAGAGGGATAACTATCTACTATCTAACTATATGTTCCATGGCCCTAAATTAATTAATAAATGCAATTAATTAGGCCCCGTTAGGCCCCAGGACATGTACAGACTTTATAATCTTATAACAAAACAACTTAAGCCATGTTGATATATTTTTAGTGGTAGTTGTAAATCAAAGGTGAGTCCGAGTGTCGTGAAAATCAAATCGAAGAGTTTGGTTGAACCTGGCTCGTTGTAATTCCATATACCAAGCCGTCACCCCACTGAACCCTGCTGTTGTCGCGTTTTCAACGCTAAAAAGCGTTAACTAACCGCAGCGAATGATCAAATATCGAAAATCAATTCCGCTGCCATTGTCACCCATAATTAAAATCCACAAAACCGAATGCCCGTCGAGGTGGTGTCACATTTGCCTTAAAGAGGATGTTGCCGAGGGGTGGCGGCGGGGAGGCGACAAGGAGGGGAATGCAGTCAGTCGAGCGATCCGCCCGAGGTTTGCGGTGCTGGAAATTCTCTCACGAGTGCCACTGCCACTCCAGGCGGTATGTGATAAGGATATGGGACGGAAGGACGGAACGAACAAATTGGAAACACATTTAAATGCGTCCACCGCTAAAACAAAACCAAGAAAAGAAGTTACTGTTTGGCCGGGTTCCTTTCCGCCCCTGGTCCTGGCCCCTTCCCACCAACCCCGACCGTACCTCCCCTTCGACAACGTTCAGGGTCTGAGGTTCGGTCGACCGCAGCTTCCGAAACCTATTTGGGTTAGTTTTCGAGTTTTCAGTTACTCGGCCCGGTCTCAATGTCAACTGTGAAAATTTCTCAAGCGTAACAAGAAATAAGTTACATGACTTTCGACGGAAGTTGTGCGAATGCAGTCGGACTCGGACTCGGAGTCGGAGCCACCACTTCGCCCCGAAAAGAGGGTCGGCTTACCGCGGCAATTCTACCTCCGTCTGATCTGGTCTAGTCCACTTTGTTGGCAACTTGATTCTTAATTATTGCATTTATGCTCTGCCGACAAATTTGTGGTAATTGAATATTTCGAGTTCGAGTCTGGTTTTGGGCCAAGCGGCCCAGCAGAGTGGTGAAGTCAATCGGCAATTGCCAGTCGGTCGGGCCCAAGGACCACCTTTGTCTCGAACTCATAATTAGTGCGTTGAGTTATGGTTTATTTGGGGTTAGAACTTGTTATCCTTCTTCAACGAGGGAACAGGACCGCCCGGACAGCTACTGACCAGATTGCTCCCAGACTGACTTTGTGAGTTAATAAGGTTATTGAGGATCTGGACAAAGTTTACAAGGTTTACAAAAGTCTTAGGTGGATATATAGTGAGCCCGTAAATCTACCCTTCTTTAGAATCCCTTTTTTTTCTCAATTATTAGCCAATTAATTTTCTTTTCAAAGTTCAAAAATAAAGGTCGGTAATTACAAGAGTCCTAAAACTGGATTTTTTTGATAACCAAACATTTGATAACCCCAGTAAACATTGTGCATGTTCTTCATTATTTTGGGTAACAGATAATACGTTCAGAGTTTACCAGAACACTTATCTCACCTCAATCTCCCGAATTATTTTCTAATTAATTTTCTTCAGGACTTTACATTTTTTGTCCAAGGACTGAGGCACATTTCTTGAAATTACTTTCAAATTTATTTCGGCATACGGAGTTCTGGGCGATGCATTAAGTATTCAGTTGTATCTTTTGGTTTAATTGGTTTACTTGTTTGTATTTGTTGCAGAGTATATTTCGCCTCAGGTGCAGACACGAATGGTAACATTCGATTCCCATTCTCGTCTAGATTCCCCTCGGCCTGTCGCATTTGTCAATATTTTCATACGAATCGGGCGAGACTCCGGGCTGGAGGGCTCGGAAGGAGCGGGTCGGCAAACAAACATGCTTAAAATAACAAATTAGCATAGACCGGGGGAAGGCGGCCTGAGACTACAGACTAAAACAACAAATACACAGGCCCGGGGCCCAGGGCCCAGGGCTGTGGGCAAGGGAGGAAGTGGATGAGTGCGGGGCCGGAGGGTCGATGGGCTGCCAGCAAGCTACCAATTTGGTACACTCACTCGAGATCAAGTTCCAAGTGCGCTGGCTGGCTCAAAAGTTACATCAATCACCATCAACACTCAACAACTCATCGACATCGAAATACCAAAATGGCGCATTGGTGTTAATGATGCCGACTTTGAAATTTTACCGACGCGCCCACAACAGCTTTTATTTTTTTACCATTTTTTTTTATTTTTGCAAAAAAAAAAAAGCAAATAAGGCAAGTGTCGTTTTGAAGTTTCCATCATCATCATCATCGTCGTCATCGACGGGTCACATTCGTCATTGGCAAACAAATGAAGGGGACGACGAGCTGACAGATAATTTTTTTCTGCTTGTGCTGAATGATGTGCGAACAAGTTGTAATTATTTCGCATTAAGTCGCGGAACCCATTGGACCAGGGTCCAGAGTTGGTACTGAAGACATGCTGATGATGCCGTGGAAATGGTAGAAGGGAACTCCCCCAGCTTTTCTTAGAACCCTCCGAAGATGTCAAGTCCATTCAGTGGAGCGGGGTCTTAAAATATGAATCATTATTTTGAAATATACCCTAGCACTTTAAATATAATATAAAAAGTTAACAATTACTATTTGTTCTATAAAAAGTAAACTTTTACAGCCTGAATAAAAAAACTAAATAGACATCGTAAATAAACCGTAAAGTACAATATTTATTTATTTTGGCCATTAGGACCACCAACAGATGGAAATGATTACGTGAAATTCCACCACCTTCGGTTCTGTTTGGTTATCTGGGGAGAAATCACACTGCTGCTGGCACATTTCGTTGCATTTAATTACGCGAATGCCTTCAATTTCCAGCTACCAGTTGAGGTTGAAGTCCAAGTTTCCCACGTTATTCCACAAAACCCACCGCCGCCTACCAAAGTCGTTAGCAGAAGTTGGGCGTTAAAGTCGAGCACCACCCTCCTCTTACGGCTTTCCTGCTGCCCAGCAGCTCACGACTCGATTTACAATACTTCCGCGTTTTGTCACCGGAAAGGTAAATCACAAGCTGACCACGCAACAAGCGGAATTATTCCTTTTTCCCCCCCGTTTTCCATTTTTCCACTTTCACGTTATATTTTGAGGGTGAAAATGAGAGTTTCGGGGAAAAGGCGCAAGTTTTCCGCGCGCATTAACCAACCCCCTGGAAATCGGTTTTCGGGTATTGGGTTTCGGGCGGCAAAGTAACCACCGCGAGACATCGCGAACGTTTAATTGCATTCGATATGCGCTTTTGGGAAAATTTCCCACGATTTTCGTGCAAGATTTTCCCGAAAGGTTACTTCCTTACTACCTTAGGTCAGTTCAGCGCAGCTTGGCTTCAGATGCTTTGATCGAAAGCTGCTGCAGTGTGATGGTGTCACACTTGAAAAAATGCTTTCTTAAAATAAAACCACAACGGAACTAGATGTGGAAAAAATTATAGCTTAATAAAAAATAATTGTATTTAAGACTCTTAATAATTTGTTTAACAAAAATTAAATAAATTTACAAGAGAATACGTTTCTTATACGTACATCTCTTATATAAAGTAATAACCTTGTAAAAAATATAAGTTACATAGATCCTGGAAATTTATGAAAAATATTTTTTTTACAGTGTATAAATGATCTCCTCTTTATCACCATTATCATCATCGTCATCTCTTATCCTCATAATAAACATTTTCGGCCGCCGATTGTTTTCGCGACTGACCGCGACGCCTTCGAAAAAAAGGGTTCCGATCTCCGAAAGGATCTGTTTCGAGGGGATGGGGTGATGGGCAGCTAGCTACTCCCGGAAGATAGCGGCAGATAAACCCTCGCCGCGTAGTCTGAGATTTGTGTGACTCATAACGGGTTTCCTTTCGCCTCGCTTGGACCTTAAGTGGATAGCGCATTGTTGCAAGGACTCGCGATCCTTTGTCTCGCACAGCTGCCGCTTTGTTTGGTCTTGGACAGTCCGGTCCTCTCCCAGATTAATCCTGTTTTCAGAGGCACTTCTTCGGTTACGCCAGCTTATCAACTGGGCAAAGTGGGGTAAAGTACTGCATACCTTATGTAAATTTCCATCTATAGTTACTTTTTTCCTCCACTTAATCCAGTTTAAATCGATGCGGGGCTGCCTTAGATCTCACCCAAGCCGATCTCCTTATTAAATTTAAATATTCAAGGAGCTCTGTTTGCATAGTTTCCTCCGACGGAGATGAATTATTACGATATTAACTGTAATTATGAATCTGGTTTGGGATCGTTTACCTACTTTGTGAGCTGCACTCTGATGGATCAGCTGTTCCTTGAATAAAGGCTCCAGTGCACGCGCCTCGAAATTATTCAATCATTCTTTTTTTAATTTTTGGGGTTTATTTATTGAAGTACTTTTGCAGGCTCTTCCTCCATTGTCTGGGTCTGGCGCATGCCTCGTGTTCAAAACACGGAAACAATCGTTCAAAAGTTTCCTACAGAATAATACAATGAGTAATGCAGACAGGAAAGATGTTCTAGAACTTGTAAGAAAAAGTATTCCGATCTTTCCAATAAAAAATACCGCTTTTAATTTTTATTAGTGTAAGCATTCTACGGTGTGCTGGCTGTTTTGGTTGGCCAGGGTCAGGATGCGCTCGTGCAGGATCATGTAGGAGAAGAATTGGAGGACACTGAGGAACAGGTACTCGTTCTTGGGCACATCGAACTGCCGGTCGTGGATGATAGTAGCCGTGTACATCACCATGCAGACGGCCACCACGGCGAATGTGTTCCTCACTGCCGTGAATATACCCTGGTAGTGAATGAAAAAGGCGTTGATGAAGAACAGGATCATCATTATGTTCGCTATGGCGACCAGGATACTGAGAACCAGGTCGCCCGGCACAATGAACATGGGAAAGTAGGCGCCCCAGAATATCGATGCGAGCATAAGTGCGACCACCACCACCCCGGCATAGAAGTTAACAAGCCCGTTTTTGCTATTGGTCTGTTCCAGGGCAATGTAGACGGTGGAGCTCTCCACAATGCAGGCTATGATGATGTAGTTGAACGGCACCTTTCGGCCAACTTGGGTCCAGGCGAGGATCACCACCGCAAAGAAAGTACACACCAGCCACCAGCCGTAGCGCTCCTCGTGGGTCCTGTCCACCCCGACGTCGCACCAGCCCAGGATCAGCCACTGGGAGAGGGCAACCCCGGCAAGGACGACACTGAGCCCGTAGACACGGCCGGCATGACTAATTTTTTGGTCAGGTGGAATGCCGAATATCTCCGGCTCGCTCAAAGCTCGGCTATTTCCATGGTGGCCTGCAAACATCGTTAATTTGTTTCAAGAATGTGTTTTATTTTTACAAGACAAGAAAGGCAAAGCGATTTAATATTGAAAGAAACAATATATTTTAAAGCTATAATTATACAAAATGACGGTCGCTTTTATTTTAATTTTTTTATTCATTTACTTTGGTTCAACTTATGGTACAATGCAATAATAAACAGGCAGGCGGTGCCCATTACAAACTCAAAATAAAATGCAAAGGCGCATCCCGGCAGCTCATTAATGGGCACGTAATTAAGTCGGCCGCAGTTGTACATTGCCTGGACAGGGGATATGCTGATGAGTATGATCAGGATCACGATCGCCATGGCTAGCCGATAAATAAAGTTTTCTGTGACGTGAAACAGGATTATGAAAGCAAAAATGGTGATCATGCCTAACAGATATACCCCACATACGCACAGTACGTTGGGGAGCAGGATCGCAGGAGCTTTGGCCCCGTATAGGTGCAGCAACCCCACCAAAATTATTGATATCAAAAGGCAAGCCGAGAAGACTAGGAGATTTAGGTAGAGCACAAAATATGCGCCCCAGAACGTGACGAAGAACACGAAGACTAACACCAAGGCCCAGTAGATGGGCGCGGTAGCGGCTGTCTGTGGAATGCAACATTGAATGGTTAGGACGATCAGGACCAACAGCCCCCACACCCATGACGGAATGGCGGTCTCCTCGTATACATCTATTTTGAGACTTGCTATGACTATCCACGGAATCACAGACATCAGGCAGAGTAAGAAGCCGAAAAAGTAAACTTTGTATATGAATATTTGACGTTGCTGCTCATTGATGATCACAATCTGCTCCTGCTGCTGTTGCTGCTGCTGATTCGTCGGATCCCAAGGGGCACGGTAATTTCTATTCACCTGGGCCATATTGGATTGGATTTCGCTCGACAACGATGTGTCAAGGATGTGGAGTAAGGATCTACAGTGTTTTGAAATGTTTTTAATATTTGGTTGGAATTGGCATGGAACTCAAAGCGACATGATAAGTTTTGTTTTTTAAGGTTTTAGTCATTATTTGGTTACGATACTCTTTACAAAATTCTTGTACAATAATGTCTTTGCTTTTGAAATTTATGTAGCAAACGAAATAGTATGCATTTTGTACTGGTCGTCAAATGCCCGCTTAATGACAACAATTGCAAAGATAAAGCAGGAGTGCACGCCCCAACCGCACAGGAAGATAGTCACGGCGGAGCCGACCTGGTCGCCCATCGGGAAATAGTTCATCCGGGCGTGTATGAGCTCCGATTGTACAATCGTCACCGTGACCAACAAGATGAACAGCACAAAGATGAGTCCCAGAATGAAGAGGTTGTTCAGCAAGACCGAAAGCACCAGAAAAAGGAACATGCCCACCAAGGCCGTTGCGACAATGACCGTGGCAACGGCGGCGGTGGGCATGCACCCCTTGGGGCCCTTGGAGCCCCAATAGGTGAAGAGGGTTACGATCAAGACCGCCAACACTCCGCATCCCATCATCACATACCAATCCTCGAGAAAAAGAAAGTACAGGGTAAAAAGCGTCACACACTCCACTGTAATAAAGGCCAGAACCCAGTTGTAGGGCGCCTTGTACCGCAGTCTCGGAGTGCAGTTAAGCAGGGTCAGGACAGCATAGGCAAAGACCAGCCACAAGAACGGCGGAACCGGAAGCACATCAGAAAACTTGGTCTTGAATAGCGAGACTACCAGCATTTGGATAATCGACACGGTGCACAGAATTGCGAGGTTGGCGTAAACATCGCGAACGAAAGCCAACATGGTGTAACTATCGATGGACAGAAACGACATCGTATCCACCTGGTACGGTCGCCCATCTTCCCCGGAATTTTGCATATGGCCTTGGCGTAAGGCCTACCGAAATTTTGAAGACAAATATTTCAAAGCACTTTCAAATTTATTTAACTTTTAACTATTATCTGAAATCTTTTAGAATAGGTTATAGAAAATTTTGTTGTTTCTTAGATTTTATCATGAATTAAAATACATATGTTATGAAAAATAAAAATCTTTAATCGTTTATTTAGGTTTTTCCAAAATATATATTCATTTTTTTCTTTCCACATTACTCTTCTTCACTTTTCACATCTTACATGAAAGCTGACCTCCTATTTTGTTAAATTCTAGTGAGCTAGAAACTGGATCAGGACTCCAATGGCATCCTTACCTCCTTTGTCAGCAAATCTGTAAACTTATTGCTAAGGGGCTTTCTAACCTTCTGAAGAAAAGAGTCATAGTATTTTGACCTTTCTGTTAGTAGTCCGGAGTGGTAGTAGGGGCCGTGGCGGACTTCTTTTCGTCCAACTTGATGAAGTAACATACGCAGCTAAAGAACATTACGCTGTGCAGGTAGACGGTCAGGGCGCAGACAATGAGGTGTTGCTCCGGCACCACCTCGATGGCGTCCAGCCGGCCATGATTGAACTGCGCCTGGATGGGGATCGCGATGATCAGCATCACGAATAGAATGCTAACGAAGGCGTCCAGGACCTTTTGGCTGCCGGTGCACAGCTGTGCAATGCCCACCGCGACCAGAGCTATCAGCAGGACGATCATCAATAGCGTTGAGAACACACCGCCGGGGAGAAACTCCTGCGGGCACATCGCTCCTGAAAAGTTAAGAATGAGGACAAGGGCAGTCACCCCGAGGACAGCCAGAAACAAGGTCAAAGTCCCTAGGCCAGTAGCGGTTTGGGCACCACCCAACGTGACCATAACTACTACGAAGCATGCCAAGATCCAATTGCAGGGGAAACACATAGCGGTCTGGGGGATGCAGTGCAGCACCATGAGCGTCAGGAAAGCCAAGATTAGTGGCACGTAGAAGGGCACGAGTAAGTGGCTGTACAGTTCGATACCTAATGCCGAGAGAAGAAGCCATACAGTCACTGTCACGCAGATAAACGGAACGGCACGGTAATAGATGCCTCGGATGAACTGGGTCATCTCATCCACCGTTGAAGTAACGACTCGCACCTGGTGATCCTGGTGGTAAATGTTGTCCATCGGTAGTCGAGACTGGGTCAGGCGAAAGCCCTGACAATTGACTCTCGGCACAGCAGAGTCCCGTTTGATTCTCAAATGAGTTGTGATACTGTCCGTGAAATGCAAAAACCCAAAGAAAGACCCTAAGCCACTGGTAGTTTTTTTCCAAAGCTTTGGTTGAAAATTTATCACATTTGACACTTATTCGGTTAATTTTACAATTAAATATGTATCCGTATATAAAAACAAAGCTGAATTCCAGGACGGTGAACGTACCTTTTAGATGTATTCGCCCATCTCTTTTGCAACTAAATGGTAGTGGGTATGCCAGATGGTGATGAGAATGTCCACGAAGAACAGGAGGAAATTCAGATACAAAAATGTGCCGCCATATATGTAATCGTATTCCGGAAGCCGAAATTGCCTGCCGTGTATTAATTGGACGTGGTAAAGGCAGACGACAATTTGAAAGCATGCCAAGAACGGAAGGAAGACCCGGTTTAGTTTCATCTGGGTCACCGAGATACACAAGCCCATCATCACAATGGAGGCCAAGCCGAACAGGACAATCGACACGAAAATGCAGATTTCTCCGGGGAGCACTTTCCGTGGCAGCTTAGCTCCTAAAATACACAAGACCATCAGCAACGCTACGGCTCCTATAACGGAAAATCCGGTTTGATGTATGGGATGGTCTACAATCGCCATGGTGACGCCCAGGACAGACAACTCTACGAAAAGGCTGTACAGGGTCCAGCTGACCCAAAGAATCCTCCGCAGTTTGGGCGCCAAGCAAAGAAGGGTGAAGGGTCCTACGCTTGACAGGGTGAATATAAATCCCAACATCACGATATTGCCATTCTTCTGGATCCACTGCGAAAGTATAATAATCTCAAAGGAAGCCACAGTGATGAAGATTGTTGCTGACATATAGGCATGTCTCGTAAAAATCTCCTCTACATTGCGACTCCTATCCGCGTTCGCCTCCGGCAGCTGGCGACCAATACGCTCCGCATGGAGCTGATTTGGGATTTGATGTCGAATCTCCTCCTGCATCTGCGTCGGGGGCTGCGGGACCTGGAGTAGATGCAGCGCTGAAAGCTATACACCTGTTTGGTCGTCGCACATTCTGTTCAGAAGTCGTGGAAGCTCGCAATTTCGACAATTGAATAATCCTTTTCTTCACTATGTGAATATTTTACATTTTAAAAAATAAAAGTTTATGAAATAAAGAAATCAAGTTTTGACGGATGAATCCATGCAGCCACTTAATTCTCAACAGTTTATGGCCAAAAATGTTTACTACCACATGTAGTTGTAACCAATTAAGTTAAGGAAAGTATTTACTTCAGATCCTTAAAGTGGCAGTTTGAGATGGACTTCTATGCATAATTTTTTGGTTTTGGAGATACTGATCTAGTTCCAATCTATTTCCGAGCATTATTAAAAAATTAATATATTTCATACTAAGTCATGCACAAATATTTGACAACTCCGATAGCTGCGACCCATTATGCGCTACGAGGATCCCCGAAAACTTAGCGAGGCGTGCAGAAATCAACGAAGAAAACAAAGCCATATAGAAAAATGCTAAGTAGCTGCGATCGAAGCTAACAAAACAGCCAGAAAGGACGCTGGCAGCTTACTCCTTTGCCCCTCCTTACGTTGTTTGTTGTTGTTTTGTTGATCGCTTGAATGACACGCAAAGGATGCAACCAAGGACTAAAAAGGATTCTTCGAGCTGTGTTGTTTGCTGCCGCATCTGCGGCCTCGATCAGGATCGCTTTCACAGTCGGTTGACGGTGGATGGTAGATGCTTGATGGCTGATGGTTGACGGCTTGGACGGCATTGTTCGCCAATGACTCAATCTCAATCAGCTGGCTGTGCTTATCCTTGATCCCCGCTCAAGACATGCAAATGCCAGGCAGGGAGGACATCACTTATCTGGCAGCTGCAATAGATACGGCAACGGCTTACGATGTAACCCTTGAGTTTCCAATCAAATTGTTAACTTTTTCTGGATGCCGCAACGGCTCTTGATTGGATTATTGATCTTCTTAGTTTTTTTTAAGTCACAACACGATAATTTTAAAGAAGATACAACTGAAAAATTAATATGTTTCATTATTTCCCAAAAACGATGAAAGGGCCCAGAGGTTGGGAGGAAAGTGAAAGCGTCGGCAAGTGCTTGACAACGACATGCGAGCAAACTCAGTGGACCAGGCCGGGATCCCCCCCTTCATCGCTATATGCATCAAGCCACCTAACGGCAGTTCACCTACAGGCCCACACCACATGTTTCCCGACGTAACTCTTCTCGGGATTTTGCATGCCAACACGAAATGTTTGGGAGCCGCAAAAAGCACAAGCCAAAAAGCTTACAGAAGCGGAACGAACGAGAACGGGCCCGGAGATTTAGAGGAAATGAGGGGCCTAGGGCTGGGGGCCGCCACCGTCATCCGTGGGTCAGTGGAGAAGACAGGTTGCCTCGTTCTACGATTTATAATATTCTATTAGTTCCACGACCCGAGCCCGAACCCGAACCCAAACCCAAACCCAGCCCCAGCCCAAAAACAAACTCAAACCCAAGCCCAGGCCCAGGTCCGAGTCCAAGCTAGAACTCGAGTTCGAGCCCAACCCGGACTGACTCTGACTGACTGACTGTTGTGTGTGGCAGCGCAGTTAGCGCAGATAATACATCCGTTTCCGGTTAAGCCCATATTTTTGTGTCATTTAGTTTACTGGGAAGGGGGTGGTTGTGGTAGAGGAGCAGTGCGGCAAGTGCCGAGACAGGGCATGTGGGAGTGGAACAGACAGCCACAGCTACGGCTACAGATGCTGATGGTTACACTGAAAGATATAACATAGTTTCTAGAACATGACTATAATATATAATATAATTATTTTGGTATCTAACTTTTCAGTGTAGACTTAGAGCTCACAATGCCGCTGACATGCCTTCTAACGAGGGTGCCTGGGCCCAGGCGGAGGATGAGGGGCACCGCTGGGTGGGGCATGTGCATGTGGACACGGACACGGGCTGGAACTGGAACTGAAACTGGGGCTGGGCGCATCAAGTGATGCGACAAGTGCAGCAGACGCTGGAGCGGAATCGTCAACGCTTCCGCATATTTCTCATTTCCACAATTAAACATTGTGAGTGGAGCGTTATGGAAAATTCTCCAAGGGTTGCAAAAACGGGGTGCTCCATGCCACCCCATGCTCCCGACATTGGCGGCATGGGGCGGGCACTGAGGTCGCCAGGAGACGCCTTCTTAGATAAATCAAAGCCATAGCAATTAATAATGCATTTTTGGGGCAAGAGAGTGGCCGGGGGATTGGTAAATTCACCGCATTCGCTGCAGAACGGAAGCTCAAATGGAGCTTGCAACTAGGAAAGTCATGTAATTATGCCCCAGCACCCCCGACCGAAGCGCCCCCGTCGAAACGGAAGTTCTGCATGGCTTTCCTGGCCGCCTCCCACCACCCACGCTGATAGCGGGGAATCCAGAACGAGACAGCTGTTGGGGCATATGGTTCCCGGTCCAGCATCGGAGATTATTAATGAGTTATTGTAGAACACCTTCTGAATCCAACCGAGCTGTTTCGGCGTCTTCCCAGTTCGTCAGCGGAGTTGTAAATAAAGTTAAGTAAACAAGCTATATCAAGTCAACAGGGAATGAAAGCTGTTTAAACAGAATCGGCAGACACACCCACTTGAAAGTGAAAAGGTTCCCGAAAACAAGAATTAAATGAATGTCTGGAAATATTTTGCGAACGCTTGCCACCTGTAACGCCAGGTATTTTCGATCGATTGCAACCCTACCTCTTCCGAAACTGACCAAAAACTGTAAGTTAGGGTCGTATAATTACTATATAATATATACAATACTTCGGCCCCCCAACGGGAAAATGAAACTAGAGTAGAAAAGCACCGCCCAACACGGCGTTACTAATTACATTTGTGCTAATGTTAATTTGTTACAATTTCCGGAATTTCGCTAATTTATTTTTTCAACATTTTTATTAGTGGCATAAATTTACGTGGCAGCCAGAACGAGGTTGGAGGTTGAGGAACTTCCTCTTCAATTGTTGGGAATATCAACACGGGAGCCATAAATTAGCATATTTTGTACGTTCAACGGGAACGATGTATAGTATTTACGATGACAAATTCAGCTCTACGTTCGAGAATTGCAGGCCTGCCACGAAACCTCCCTTTACCGGAAACTTTTCCAAAACTGATCCCATTTACTGATCAATTACTATCACTTTCCTGGGAGACCCGCCATGACCCACTGAAGGCCCACACGACTCCGCTGGCCAGACAGACAGACGATCGGCTCAAATAGTCTTATTGTTGAATGCCTTTTGTTCGCCACTCACTCTGGGTGAATAATACTTTTCGTGGGTGTTTGGATTTATGAACAGTTTATGGGTTATGGGCGATTTTTGCACTCGTCCGAGCGGAGCGCGCCGGTACCCCGGACCTGCCTTGAATTTTGATTGATTTCCAAGATATTAATATTTATTTATTTTATTTGTCGTTTTTTACTTGCTTCTTGTCGTTTTGGTCGCATATTTTTATAATTTTTATGGATTGGCAGAATGTTGAAATAAACACGTTGTATTGCCGCTGTTAATGGCCGCATAAATTGTTGTCAGATATTAGTAATAAATATATTTTTCTTGTATGTCTCTGTTTGTTTATTCATCATAACAAATTTGTCGGTATTTGGCCCGCACGTGCCACCGATTTTTCGGCCCGAAACTTGCTCTAATGCGTGCATTAGTGTCCATTAATCGAAACTACAAGAAATCGTTCGCTTGCAGGCCAGAAAGGTTAAAAGCCTCTGCTGGCTGATGTTGCATGCCACACTCCGGCTGGCACATTGCCATCCTAGAAATAGCCCAGTCAAGAAGCCTCAGTCATGTGGGTCCTGCGACCACATCCTTTCTTTATACTCCCAGGCCCAGGCTGAACCAGGAATCATACACGAATACGTAATTTTATTTTTTGTGGCATGGAATCAAACAATTTAGTTTGCTTTTAGTGGTTTCACACGTGACTCGGTTGTGTGGGGTATAAAATTACCTCGGAATCATAAATAATTAGGCTACATTTCCTTTTTCGATTAAAGCTTAAAGTTAGCAAAAGATCCTACACTTCGGTATGGCATTTACCTTTCACAACTTATTGAAATGAGAGAAACTGTTTGAATATTAATCATTCCCAAAACGGCATCCTTTTTCCCTTAAGGACTCCATCATGTTTCAAATCAGTAGTCATTGATAGCCAACGGTCAGCTGCCTTGGCTCATTTGCACCCATTTGGGTGAACGAAACAAAGACTCACTTCAGTTCCAGCTACTCGTAAAATTTTGCAGCTGAGCGCCAAAAATGGGAAAACAAAAACGAGCCAAGTTGAGCCAAGCGTACAAAATCATTTCCTACTAAAATCAACAAAACGGACATGCCGCAGAGATGGAGTGGCCCATGGACATGGAGGTGGTGGTCGGTCCAGGTAGTGGTGTTCGGTGGGGCCTCGTTCTGGGGTTGGGCTCTGCTCAGCCCTCGGACACCGGCTATACTCAAAATGCGTGACTGCGACTAATGACCCGCACGTGTTCGGTCTGCCAGCGTTTCGAGTTCTACGATGACTATGAGTCGCGCTGGCGAGAATTGATTACGATCGCTGGACGCATATTAATTGTGGCAGCTAGGCAGCTAAGGAACCAGCCTGGCGGCGTAAAGGACACCCAAAAAGGACACCAAGGTCTGGTGGAGCCGCTCTGCGCATATGATTAACCACTTAATGAATTCTCGGATGGGGATACTCCAACCAGAGTTCGTGTTCCTGCAGGTAAACAGCGCATTTGTCGATCTTCGCCAGCCACACACCGAGATCAGCTCTCCTGGGCGATGTCGGTAGGGGAGTCGGTAACGGGATGACCCAAAATTTGTCACACCCTTGAAGTTGGGGACCCCGTAACCCAGTCCTCCCCCTCTGCCTCTTATGAGTGATGATCCCGCGAGCTGGACGTCGCGACGTGTTGGCGATCTTATCCGCCAGTTTGGTGTGAGGCCACGCTCTTCATCCAGGGTGAGTGGAAATGGTAATGGGAGCTAATTAAATAATTTATTAGGCATAGGTCAGGAAGTGCTGGGCATGGGCAATTAGATCCCTTAAAAAAATATTCATAGATTTTGGCTGAAAAACAATTTAAATATTTAGGCTTATTTTAAAAATTATTTCAACCTTCAA